CTGAGTACTTCTTTATGGAGGAAATTAAAACCAAAACCACCTCTCTTTTCAGCTTCTTCTACTAGTCTAGCTGCTAACTTACGATGTCCTAATATAACTACTTTATTGATATCATCTATTAAATGACCAATCTACAACAAATAAACTTGTTAACAAATGACAAATAATCACCATCTTACTAATCATTAGTTTTCAAATACTTCAAATCCAAGTACCATGCAGTGTCGTAACTACAAATGCAGTATGCCGAGTTGAAGGAATAATTCAAACACACAGAAAATGGAAATTTTATTTAATAGTTAAAAATATAAATATAATATCTGCTAAATATGTGTCTTTTTTGAAGGAAGATGATGCGTTTTTAGAAAAGCGCTCATTGGGACCTTACACACCCCCAGATCCCTAGTCATGTTTGGAATTTCTACCTAATTGTCAACTCATGATAAAAAACAATGTAACTTACCATATGCTCTTTATCATAAGATCCACTACTATGTTTTATAACAGAGGCCATGACATTGTCAACAACAGACCAATCACAACCATATTGTATTGGTAGAAAACAATATTCCTCTACACCAGGATTGTACTCTCCATCCTATAATTCATAAAAAAGTTCATCCCACTTTCGTCAAATTTTTAAGGCTTTTCCAGCCTTAAGAATAATAAATCAAATTGAACAGACATCTTCTTTCAAGCTTTCTAATGTAAATTTGCTCTCAAATCATGTAATAAATCTACTACACAGATATAGTATGTCACCTTGTCCTATAGAGAAATTTTATTCTTCAGATCCCAGCTCACCAAAATAATAAATGCTGTGAAGAAATATATATTTTAGCTTGGTATTTCAACCATATTCCTACTAGTTACAAAATGTAAAAATACTTCAATTTGGAAAACCTTGATCATTAGACTCAAAGTACTCACATCTTTAAAGGCGTCATTCCCCTCACGACTACCTCGACTTACATTCAATTTACGCACATTTCTTACTCCTAAATTGACAGGATTATAACTGAAATTCAAAGTATTCATATGTTATCACCTTTAGACTAACAAAATTTCGTACAAATCAGTTAATTCTGGTCAGCTATGTTCTTGTTAGTCTTTTAACTTGTCAATTTCATTAATGAATTTCAGTAAAATTACTTACGTTCCAGTATCAATACTATGTAGTAATGGTGTGGGAGGGGTGTTTACTTTTCTTTTCTTACTACATATTATATCTTCTACCAATAATTCTATTATATTTTTATTACCATTTCTAATAGCATAATCTAACGCTGTATTCCTATTTTCTTTACTTCGCTTATAATTCACCTGAAATAGACAGTCATCAAATTAAAACATGTGCTTTTATACTATAGAATATTGTAAGCTGTCATCAAATTTCAAATAAATACTTTGACTGCAATTATGAGTGAAGATGTCTTATTCAAGGTCAATGGACCATCTAGATTGGAACCCACAGTCGCCATTTTTAACGACTGTGCTATAGAACCTCACAAAGGTCATGACATGTAAGCAAGTCGACAATGGTGTATTATTTAGTACAGTCCAAAGAACAATTACATACATAAAGAGGAGAGCATCAGTATGTTTTTGATAAGATAAGCTGATCAATCATCATTTGCTTTCCATTGCTTTACTTACACATTCACTTTTTGAAATATTTGTACAAAAGCAATTTAGCTTATGTGTCACCAAATAGCAATGGCAACAAACCCACTGGATAACCTTACCGTGATATGGCATCATTGATGAAAGAAGAATCTGAGAGTTAACCTATCCTGCCTGTGTGAATTCTGGACTCTGGACATTAAATATTTTGAGATAATGAGAAGACATACCTTATAAACATTAGGATCTGCTAATAAATCTTTTAACATAGATACATTATCTAATATTGCTGCTCTTATAACCAATTTACTCTGTATTGGTATTGAAACAAATGGTACTTTTTCTCTAAAATAATGATTGAAAGAGCCAGCATTAATTATAGTCAATTATTTTAAAAATTGGGAATTTTTTATTAATATGAATATTGTAATTATATTTTTTATAAATTCAAATTCAAAACTTTTATGTGGATATGCATCATTTAAGGTGTGTTATGAAATTCTGATTATTTATCTGTGAGATCTTTAATTCTAAATAAACAGACAAAATGATGCCAGTACACCTCTTTACAATCAAACACAATAAATAATGCTTCATCATTCAAAAAAATAATACAACTTACTTTGTCTCAAAGAAGGGGTCTTTTTCCAACACTTTGATTTTAGGATTTGGTTTTAACTTTCGGTCAGGACCTTTCTTCCTTTCTGTCTTTTCTTTAGGTTTTTTGGCTTTACCTTTAGCCTTTTGATTTTTTTTCTTTTCTGAAATATTGATATATAGGTTGGTATACAATTTCTCATGAGAATCTTGTGTTCATTTAATATTTTAACAATGTACTGAAGACAGCAGATGTATAGTTATATTCACTATGACAAATACTGAAATAAACCAACCTTTTTCTTTTTCAGCTTTTGTTTTTCCTCTAACTGTGCTCTTCTTCCCAGTTCCTTTCTTAGCTAGAATAGACATAAAACATTACATTACAAAGTTTAGGATTACTTTAGTTATTATTC